GGTAATTATAATCATATAGGAATGGAGAGACATTGGAAATTTTCATGTTCCGGTAATAAATACTGTGGTGTAAATTATAATGAATACTTGAAAATCAAGCAAAAATTTAATTCTGCATATAATTTTGATAATATAATACATATGTATCGATATGAATTATGGATGCAAAATGCTGTTAAAAAAGTTAAACATTCAAGAGAAGTCAATAGAAAGATTCAGGCATGAATTACTATATAAAGGAAGTTTATTGAATATATGTACAGACCCGATGGCCTCTGTGCTTCAGAATTAGTTATACATTTTAAATTACTATGGAGTATTCAAAAAGAAATGCATCAAATTAACAATGTATAGACTGTGTCTGTAAGCACGAAGTGTCATTTCTCTGAAATAAGTAATACATATATCTATTTATCCGATTAATATATCTATTTATTTATTATATAACATATTTATATATATCTTTAAAATAAAACCATCTAAGGCATCTCTGAGGGCTGGTACTTTAGACTTTATTTCGTTATCCCTGAGGGCTGGTAACATTTTTTACTTTGATTTTACGTGTTAAGTCTTTTTTTATAGGCCACAAAAATTCCTAGTGTATATAATGTATCAAGTTCGTTATTTTATATTTGGAATTCTAGGAATATTTGGAATTTTAAGAATAATTGGAATTCTAAGAATATTTGGAATATTAGAATTCCTGGAATATTTTATTATATAAACATAATGAATTTCCACGAACATTATTCAGAACTTCTTAAAAAATTACCTCCTTCCATAAAAAAGAATATATGGAATCGACTTACTTCTAGAGTACATAATCCTTTGTCAGAAGAACAGGCAAGTAGTATTCATTCTGATATTGAGTCATTGCTAATTAGTGAAATTGATAAATATGCAAAGAAAAAAAATCTACAGCGATGTAGTAAATCAATCTTAGATCATTCTAGATCAAACTTAGATCAAACCGAGATTAATCTTGGATCGAACTTAGATCATCCTAGATCAAACTTAGATCAAACCGAGACTAATCTTAGGCCGAGCTTACAAATAACCAATTCTGAAGATAAAATCAATGCTCGAGTTAAAGAAGCTACGGAGGCAATGCATCAAAGGTTTATTGAATCTATCCAGCAAACATTAAACTCTATCAAGCAACAAAAAGAAGCTGAGTGTAATCAAATTCGTTCAGATATGACTCTCAAGTCTAGAAATTTATTTGAACATACATTAAAAACATATATTCGGGATGGAACTATATATAATCTTATTCATTTATTGGAAGAAGCGGATGGAAAACTATATCCTGACATATCCCGCATTGTAAAGAAAAATTGATCTAGATATTTGTTCCAGTTATTTTTTTTATTGCACCACTATCGGAACATGAATCATTAGTCTTTTTTTCTATATTAAATGCATTGCGCGATTCTTTGCAAGTAGAAAGAGGAATGGTAATAGTTTTTCCGTTATGTGTAGCTGTGAATTCTCCTTTCACTATCGGATCCCACCCAACACGGTATTGCCACTTAGTACCAAGTATCATTATAGATATATCATTTCCATATCTATCTTTTTTTGTGGGAATTACTGATACTTCATTTTCATAAACGGTTATAGAATCTTTTTCATTATCTATAGATATAGGAATGTTATATGAAGTACCAATGGACTGAGAATCTCCAACCGCACCCGTAAGTTTGTGAACATTTTTCTTATCTATTTTTATTCCTAAATATTCAGGAATGTTATCTGTATACAATGAATCATCTGCACCGGTATCTAGAATTGCGTGGGGTATTATTAAGTCACCTATTCTACAAGAAATCGTTGCTACATCATTAGGTTCTTTTATATCGAGAAAATCAATCTC